CCCATCCTGATGCAAACCGATGCAAAACGCTGCATCAGACATTCGCGCCGCTGCAGTGAGGTGATTGAGCGTGTGCGTCATCATGACGGTTGGATCGCGGCTCGCGGCCTGGGGAAGTGAGAAGTGAGAGAGAGAGGCAAAGAGAGATAAAGCGGGAGGGGAGGGGAGCAGACAAAGAACCGATTCGATTGCAGATTAGTGCTTGCTCATTGCTCGGCCTCCCCAACCTGGGTGGGTACCGGCGCCACACGCTCCTTCTACTTGAGGAGCGCGCGCCCCGCAGCCAGGCCCAGCCAGCAGCCCATGGCGGCGGCCTCGAGCACACGGAGGCCGATAGTAAATAAACGTTCGCCCGAGCCAAGACGACGTTAAACGCATCAAAATCCCCAAACGACGCAAGGCGAGGCGATGGGGAAGCGAAACTGCGTTGCGAAAAGGGAGCGGGCACGTTGCCGCCGCCGCGAGATGCGGTGTGGGGCGGGGCGGCGTCGGGCGGGGCGGCTTACGACTGCTCGCTTGGGCAACGCCAGGCGCCGCGCGCCGCACGCACGGGCTGCCTAACTGTCCGGCGGTCCAGATCGGGCCGCCAATACAAATACCGGGGCAAGGCGATACTCCCCCCCCCCCATCTTAGCTTACCAACGGTTGGTCCTTTTAAGGTCACCCCCCGGCACGGCATGGCCCGGCCGTGGCGGGTCGCGTTGGCCCACCTTGCGGTTCGGCTGGTCTGTCTGTCTGTCTGTCAGCCGCAGCGCGACGCCGTCGTACACAATGTCGGACAGGTGGACCGCCACCGTGACAGGTCAATAGAGCGAGGTGAGACTGATGGCGGCGCGGCTGCGGTGGGGCGCCGCAGTGTGATACTGCAAAGGGCCGCGCCCAGCCCAGCCCCGCCGCGAGCGGACCTAGATGCCAAAAAGGGAAAGTTAGTTCGGAAAAATGAGCGGGCCAGCCTAGGCGGCAGCGGCGGCCGCGGGGCGCGCGGGTAGCAGGATTGGAGGTGGAGGGGGCCAGGATGTTTTTCTACCGATCCTAATGGTCAGGGGCCGCGCCCGGGGGCCCCCGAGTGTCATTAGCGGAGGAAAGACCTCAGAGCTCCACAAACCCGACCCGGGGCCCCCGTGGGCAGGTCCTGGAGCCCCCCGCCCCCGCCGCTGTAGCAGCGGCACCTTGCGCAATTCGTCGAGTATACGTATCGCCTCACGATCATCCATCCGTCAGCTCCCGACGCACCTCGTGGAGCAGCAGCGCCGTACGCACCTGGAACAGAGAGGAGAGAGCGGCGTATTAGCAAAGAGCTTCGGCAGGGAGTGTACCACCGGCGGGGGCACCCGGGGAGGCACCGCGGCCGACTATGTGTGGGGCCCTGGCGTCCTCGCGGACAGCCACGAGGACTAGGTTCGGAGCGGAGGAGTTTGGCGTGTATATCCCCTCTCCTGGCAAGGTGCAAGCCTCTTGCTCAATCTACACACAAGCACGCGCGCGCGCACACACACACAGTGGACGGTGCACGCGGGATTCCACGCCAGCCCGGCTCCGCCGCATCCTAGTGGCGCTAACCACATAAACAGACTCCATTATGCAGGCCGTCTAGAGCCCCGCCCGCCACAACTTATATGATATGTTGTTTCTGCCCCGCGCTCGCTCCGAGGTGCCCGTTTTCGTAGTTTACGATAAACAGTGTGCGATCCCCACCTCACCCGGCTGACCTCTCCCTCCCCGCCCCCGAGTCGACGCGCCGACCGAATAGAGAGTCCAGCCTAGGCCCGTCAGCCTTGGCCGGCCGCCCAGCGGGCCCGGCTCGCCGGCACACGGCTTGGCTACGAAATAGTCAGGCATTGTATGTGAGGTTTTGCATGCCTTAAGGCTCTCTCTCTCTCTCTCTCTCTCTCTCTCTCTCTCTCTCTCTCTCTCTCTCTCTCTCTTCCCCGTGGCTACGCCGCCGCGCTCCGCTGACCATCTCACGGCACTAGCCAAGGCGCCGAGTGTGTGTGTGTGTGTGTTGTTTGTGAGAACGAGAGGGAGAGAGAGGGAGCTAGCGACAAGGAGAGACGGAGAGAGAGAGACATAGAAAAGGAAGTCGAGAGGAGGAAGAGAAGGGGGGGGGGGGGAGGGGACCGCGCGAACCACTCGCGGCGTCATACTTTCCTTTTTCCCACTCGCAGGCACGATGACTGCAGGATAAGAATCCGTTAGGCTGATACGCCACGCCGAGCCGAGCCGAACCGGGGGTGCAACTAGAGCACGACGCTCAGCTCACACAACAGTGCTAGCTGCTAGTCGCGAGGCGGCCGGCTGGCCGAGGCCGGCCTCGGATGGCTACGCGTCCCCAGAGGCCTCCCCAGTACTATACTACAGCTCTGCAGGGGCCTGCTGGTTTGGGTTCGGGGGAAGAAGAGAGAGAGGAAGGGAGAGCCGGGAGAGAACAGCAGGAGAAGAGAGAAAGAGGAGGGACTGGAGAGAACAGCGCGGGCGAAGAGGGGCAGGCAGGCAGAGGACGAGGCCCGGGTGATCGCGAAGCGTGAACAGCCTCCAAAAACAGCCGAGCGCGCGGCGGAGGGGGGCGCAACCGCCTAGAGAGGCCGGGCCGGCTCTCTGGGGGCCCCCACCGCACACCGCGGGCGGGGCGGGGCGGGGCAGGGCAGGGCAGAAGGGGGGCCGGGCCGCGTACGAGATCCGCCTCCTCTCCGTCGGCTCCGCGGGGGCCGCCGCGCTAGACAAGGACGCCTTCGCCTGCTCCGCCGCCAGGACGCGGCCCGCCGCAACACGCCCCGCCCGCCCCGTGTTTTCGGTGGCCTACATTTCATCTATCGCCAAGCCCAGCCCAGCCCAGCCCAGCCACACCACCACCCCACCTCGGCAGCAGCAAGGGCCAGTCTAACTGTTGCGCCACGATGCACAGGCAGGCGGGCAGGCGGGCACGGCCCGACCTCCGCCACGTGCAGCACGCCGTGAGGAGCCACACTGTCAGGCCTCATCATCGCTGGGAGGTATAAAAATAAAGTAAGCAGAAACACGAGAACGGGCCGGACGGACAGCTCGTCTAGCCACCCTCGGGGCGGGGCGGGCGGGCCCAGCGCGGTCGGCACAGGCGGACGGGCCAGAGCGCCAGCTGAGAGGACCGGTACCGGTGGTGGTGTCGGACAGCCGAAAAGAAAAGCAGTCGATCAAGAACTGGAATTTGTACCACGTTCCTAGCGCTAGGGCCGGGCCCGGCTCTAAAAGAGCCCCATGTGGGTTGGGCAGACCAGCCTCGCTGAGACGGGATATAAGACGAGATGGAGGGAGGGAATAAGGAGATAGAGGAGGAGAGTGGGAGAGGAGGGGAAAGAGAGAGAGAGAGAGCGAGAACGGCAGACTTGCAGTCACCACACCCGCTGGTGCTTCTGCGGCTGCGTGGGCCCGGGCGCAAGCATTCCGGCATAAAGTGACAACCTGCCAGCTGCGCGATGGCCCTGGCGCGAGAGCGGCCAGGCGGGGCGGGGCGGGGCGGGGCGCGGGGACTAACAAGTCCTCTCGCAACAAGGCGGATGCCAGACACACTACAAGTGTGTTAAACACACACACACGCACGCACGCACCACACACTGTGGGCCAGAGCCAGTGCTCTACTGGTGGGTATACTCCACAGCTTGCACACGTGCTGGAAGGTTGCCTACATGCACGGCGTCCCGCCCGGAGCGGAGCGGCCGTAGCAGATAGGGCCATGGTCGAGGCGATGGTGGTGGGCAACCAGCGCATGCGCGGCCGGCTGCACGGCGTGAAGAGCAGCGCATCACGAGAGTTGTGTGTGTACATTGCCTGTGTTTTGTTTGATAGATGGCGGAATGTCACGGCCTAAGCAGCAGCAGCAGCAGCAGCAGTGCCGCGCCCTACGCCGGCGCGTGCAGCACCGCGGAGCCGGCCGGCCGGCATCATCGCAATAACAAACACTATTTCAGCGCGGCGTGTGGCGTACAGTAGGCGGGCCGGGCCGGCCGGCGGTC